AATAACCAAAACAACAACAAACATAAATAGCAACAACCATAAATCACAACAGCAATAACAAAAACGTACAATGGACAACAAATAACTCAACCTCTACAGACACACACAAAACGGTGATAACTAAAAAGTAAGTAAGTCGACAAAATGAAAAATTCCGCAACAACAACAATGCGCACAATAACAAATATAGTAACTGTAACCACAATATCCATAATGACTATAAACACAACACAAATTTCCACCGAGAATCAGCAGAAATTTTCTTTTCGTATAGAATACAACACACATTCGGAAATGGCGGCACATACACGCAAACATATATATACATATATATATACAAGTATATAGACATCAAACTACATTTACGACAATGCATTATGATCTAAACAGTGAGCGAAATATTTACTCATTCGTAAATATAGGCTGCTGCCAATATGTAAGTTTGCATGTGTGTGTGTGTATGTGTTTGTGTGAGTATTTCCCAACTTGACATGTGAACAAATGACAGCTTGCGTATGGCAAATGGTGGCGAGCAAATTAAGAAAAATGTTCAGTGCACTGATTCACATTGTGCGATGTGAGAGTATAATGTGGATGCCACATTTCCACTGCTACAATATATTGTAGCACTGTCCGGGTCTCGCAAATAGCGCGTTTAGACTCTTAATGTAACAAGATTTACGGGAGAGTAAATTTAATTTTTGCAAAATTTCACATTTTCTTTCAACAAGTTGCTACGATGTAATTGCAAATCTTTGCCAGATAAGGAAAAAAGATATTTTTGTAAGTTCTTATATTGGGTTTGATCGGTCAGTGCGTATGGCAGCTATATGCTATATCGGTACGATCTAAACAAAATGTTCAGAAATTATAGAGTTACTTTGAGCAATAATCCATTCTATGAGTATGCTTCGTCTAATAAAAAATATCTCCTCAGAAGGACCTGATTTGGATCGAACGGTTTGTATGGCAATGTATGTGCTTTAGTGGTTACTTTTAAGTACATAATAATCAATAAGAATTGAATATGTCTAATATTACTTTAACTCAACTGATGTAAAGATCCTTAAAGTCCAACAGAGATACATATGAATGGGCATTGATTCTTTTCATCGAAGAAGCAAAACGAATGAGTTTGGTGGTGAATGAGGTTAAGATGAAGTATCTTCTGTCATCAAGTAAACAGTCAGCGCATTTGCGTGTTATCTCCTACGTCACTGTTACATCACGATAGTCATAACTCTGATTTCGAGACATTTTCGTCTATCTTGCAATCAGCATCAACAACACCAATAATGTCAGCCTTGAAATCCAACGCAGAATCACACTTGCCTAATTCGCTTCTTTGAACTGAGTAGGTAATTGAAAAAGAAAGTCCTCTCCCTACGAACCAAAACCAAACTCTACAAATCGCTCATTATTTCCACCCTGCAATCTGTTGCAATCTGAAGCGTGAACGATGTCGACAACTGATGAGATGATGAAAAATGTATGGTTCTTTGAACACTGGCGATGGCTAATACCTCAGACGTTAGCAAGATAAGCTGAATGTGTTACACGACGACATTGACATAGTGCAGCGAATAAAAAGACAGCGGCTACGCTGGCTAAGTTATGTCGTCCGACTGGACCAAAACACTCCAGTTTTGAAGAGTTTCGATGCGGTACGCGCTGGTGGAAGCAGATAAAAGTGAAAACCTACACTTCGTTGGAGAGATCAGGTGGAGTGTAACGTTTCCAACCGGCGCCAAACTGAGAATAAGCTTACGCCTATGTAATAGAAGTATATAGCTAAGCTAATACCATAAATAAAATCACCTTCCTCTAACGACAAATGAAAGTTTAAACGAATTATCTCCATATACTCTTGAAGTATTCGATTGAAAGTTGTGTTTGCACTTGTTTTTGGATCTTGTATCTATAATACACTAGCAGTAATACTAATGTAGATTCTAAGTAGCTTCACTCAGAACACTCAGGAAAGTTAAACTGTAGTGGGATTTGGAATATATATTTATAATATATGCAAATTGCAAAGAGCTCATAGCACCAGCACTGCTACCACTACCATTTACAATTACCGAAAAGAAAATAAAAATTAATGTCACCACCAATTAAGCGCATTAATTATAAATAAAATCTCCTCGCAATAAATTGAAATGCAAGTTGTGCCAATAGGGCAAATATATGCGCATACATAATTATACAAGTATAGACGGTTGCTGCGCCGTGTCGGCAGCAGCGACAAGCACACGAGTAATACACACATATACTACTACTAAGTGTTACTAACCCCTTCACATGAAAGTACACGTTAGTATTGTAGTGACAGAGCTTGGGCGCCTAAAAACACACCGTAGTTAGCGAACACACGCACGTAGTTATGCCAAGCAGTAGCCGAAGCAAACTAAATACATAGACAAGTAGTGAAGTGTAGCAAGGCAACGGTTGCCAGCAATGAGTGCGGCAACAACAACAACATCAACGATAACAACAACAATTGAAACTGGCAACACATTACAGTATTGCCAACATTATTGCATTGCATTAGTTGTAGTAACGTAATTCAAACAACAACAACTACAACAATAATAAGGACAACTGTTATGGCACACATACATAAAAGCATACTTGTATAAACACATACACACGTACACATTTACATACAGGCTAAATCTTTAAAGCAACCTCACTTTGTAGCCAAGTCTATGCGGTCTACATCAGCAACGGCAGCCGGCGCTTCAACTTTGCATGCAACATTTTTTGGTACAGCGCGACAATAGCGAATTTTGCCAACATTTGAAGAAGCAGTAAAAGAAACAAAATTTGAGTAAAATCGAGAAACATTTCTGGCGCCTGATGTCTGCAGCGAAATGTAGTATAATAAAAATTCTAAAGAAGCTGAGCATAATGACCAAAGCGAGTAAGACAGCAAATATATGCATGGCTGTGTATTCGGCGCGTTTCTGTGTGTTTGTGTGCAGCGAAAAACAGGCAGCAGACAGCATTCAGCAAACGACAACTAACGGCAACTGGCAGCGTCTGTCAATGACATTTCGTACTCGTGTATCGTACGAATGTGCTGCAAGCAAAAACTGTGAATGCCGGCACAAATGCCGACACACATACATATATCTATATACACACAAAAACATAAGCAAATGGATGAACTGAAGACGTACGCAAGTGATTGCAGCAGACAGCGTACTTTTTCGAGATAAGCAAAAAAAGTTACACCTAGTAGTATATAAACATGCATAAACATATATATAAAAGTATTTAATGCAAGTATATATATATGCAAGTATTATGTATAAGTAGTACAAGTATAATGTATATATATTATATATATGTATATCGACACACAAAAACATGTATATACAAATCCTTCTATAATGCATTCGAAATGTTCGAAGTAGCATGCTGCAGCCAGAATTGGAGCGATGACTTCGGCGACGGAAGGAAAACAGACCGGATGTTGGCAGCAGCAGAACAGGAAACGCTCATTTAAGTGAAGTCATTGCAGCTGCATTGCGCAGCCGAAAGGAAATCACAACTGAGCTGGCTTGTGCGCTTGCGTTACGGGTCGGCAGTTCCAGCTCTATCGAAAGTGATATCTACCTGCAAGAGGCGAGGAAATGAATTTCTATTACAGGATATTGCATTGTGAGCAATGAAAGCCGCCAGGGGTTAGCTGTTTAAGCGCTGTGCCTAGAGAAGTGCCGCCCTCGGCACACAGACAGTTGCGTTCAATATCATGAGTACACAAGTAAAATAAAAATGTTCAAAACTGAAGGAAAATCGGAATACTGAAGTAGCGAACAAGTAAAGGAGAGCTAAGTATGTTTGGACTCAGACAATAAACAACTTATCAGCGGTAGTCAGATGCTCAGTTTCGTGACAACATTGTCAGAGTTATCCACTGCCCAACAGTCCAAAAAACTTGTGGAACTTAATACAATATCACTTGAAAAGTAGGTGTGGTTATGAGCTGTAGTTGTGGACGCATCTTAAATTGTAGAAACAGTATTTTAATTAATTTTCTGCAAGCGTTTTCTCTCACGAGATGACTAAAAATGCTACTTAAAAATTTCATCAATTCATCTTGGCATTTAAAAACTTCCAGGAACATTGATTTTTGTATTAATTTTACATATATCATCAGTCATATGATGAAAAATTTGGTCAAATAACTGAAAAAACTTGTAGTACAAATCATCAAAATGAGTATCTTAAAGAAACTCTTTGGAACCAAATTGTCTTCCTAAATGAAAAACCGTTTGTCTCTCTGAAAGAGATAGGTATATCATACGATATTAAAGTCTCTCACTTTGGGCTAAAAGGATCTCGCAGTCGCACAAGTTCTGCTTGTTGACCAGCGCTTGCCGAGCACACTGGAGGTTCATAGGTCCAACGCTAGAACGCAAGAGGACAAAAGAAAACTGACTCACTTCCATTAGGATAAAATCGGAGTTAGGGTGCTCATCGGCTTTGATGTAACCGGCGATTCCGCTGTGGCCTGGTATCCATACAAGTCTAAAAGTAAGATTTTTCCGTAATTGTAATGATATCGTTTTCTCTAAGTGAATGAATCTCTTTCAGCTCAGTATGAATGCTCAAATTTGATGCAATAATTTTAGCTTCAGCCAACAGCATCGACCAAGAATCTTTCAAAAGATTAATGTCAGTCAAAAGTTGATGCAAAATCCTAGCTAAAATAATAAAAAAATCCTTTCCACACACAAATAAAACTATAGAAATTTCAATTTGTAAACATTTATTCAAGCCTTTTCCTATGACATTATATCTCTGTAACTTGGAGCATCGTGCATTACTTGATTTAAAAACAGCAAAGCGACAACTGAAATTTTAATAAAGAAATCTTGAAAAAACATCGAGTTCACTTTAAATTGCTGTGTAACGACTGAACCGAATTGGAATACTTATGATATATGCCATTTTGTAAGCGCTTTTATAGTTGCAATATTAATCAAAATTACCGGAACAATCAAATTTGAAATGGGCATTGTGAATTAATAAATAAATTAGTTGCACCCGCGTGTCGAATACTAAATATTATGCAATATGGTATTACAAAATGTTTTTATCAGATAAAACTCAAGATAAAATTGTATAAAAATTTAATAAAAAATATTCCAACAGTTGTAATGATATTAGCATTTATTACTTAGTACTTTTCTAACGCTAAAAATGACAAATATGGAGGAAATATAAATATAATATAAACAAATTGCTTGCAGTAATTCTTAGTTACTTGCGCACTTTCTTTCCAACATAGCTAAATATAACTATTTATTACATTTGCTTACGTAGATATTTTACTACTGGACTATTTAACATTCAGTTCCTTGGATATTTACTAATTTACTATTTAATTTACTTAACTTCCTATAGGTATACTTTTACTTGTTTGTAAATTTGACATGCAATCTCGGAAGAAATTGTTCATATCGGACCACTGTAACATATACCTGCCATAGAAACTGACCGATCAAAATTAATATCAAGTTCTTGTATGGAAACTTATTTTTTATTTGTGTAGGGTATTCTAGCATCAGTGCAACCGAAGTTAATGTTTTTTCTTGTTCATTCTAAATTTTTGACTAATTATATTGATTTATGGTTAATTTTGATATTTAGTATGAACCTCCTTAGCATTGACTACATATTGGATATTTTTTAATGGAATGCACCAACTTTGGTACAACATATTCCAATGGAATCTTGTGCCTTCGAGTATTCTTTTGCCACTTTTGTCTTTGGGTATGACCTTGCCGCAGCAATAAAGAAGTCAAGTTCACATTTGAAGCCCTTTACACTTAGGAATATTGTCCTGATACAATTCCAATGTTGGTTTTATTGTTGAGAAGCTAAATTTTGTTGTATTTATATTAAAATGACCGAATTTGACGGTTTTTGACTCAAAATTTATTTTAACGCTTAAGGAAAGCATGTTGCCGTTTAAGACTTTTTTTTAAACTCCAATAATAATGACCACAAAAAAATTTTTTAAGTTGATAACTTTTAATTGCCCAGAAAGCGGACTCTCCACAGTTTCTAGAACACTTGTCAAAAATTTTTTACGAAATAAAAATTTGTTAGTTTTTTATAAGCTACAAATTTTTTTTTCGCTCCACCCTTCTGTAGAACGCCCTCACTGTAATACGGTTCACATCAAAACAGGGTATCAGAAATTGGCTTGTTTCACACATTCTTTTAGGTGAAATCCACAAATTGCCAGAAATAGAAAAAGAAATGGGAAATGTTATAGCTTCAGATAAGCAATACTTTGAATAATAATTCTTAAATAAAGGTTTAAATTTGGAAAAAACCAACCCACGAATATAGCTTTAGACCCAATAGTTTCTAGTATTTATCTACATAATCATTTGTTTTCTTATTTAATTACTTGCTTGCTTGCAGTCAAACTTGTTCATTTTAAACCTTACGGATATACAAATTTACTTACTAACTGTAATATATAGTTCTTAATTACTTATTACTTATGTAATTATATACTTACTTAACTACTTTTATAAGTTAAGCTAAATATGTATACTCACTTATTGTACTTAAGTACCAACTAACTTGTAATAACAATAGTAGGTTAATATTCACATGATTACCTTCTGGCATATAGCTGCTTGCAGACTTATTAACGGTACACAAACACATACTGCTCTTATGAGTTTTGTAAATAGTAATTTACTGCAGTACTAATTGTTTCGTTTATTTATTTTACTAATATATTTGCTTACTTAGTCTCATCAAGATTCACAAACTTACTCACATACCTTTACTTAAATACTTACTCAGCAATTTTGAGTGAGCTTAAGCTCACTCAAAATTACAGAGAAGCGGGTTACCTAGAATCACAATGAGATTATTAAAGCTCCGAAAATAGCAGAGGTGTTGTTTGAAAGCGAAAAATAATTTTTATTTCACTGTTCAACGTTATTTTTCGTAATACCAAAATATAATTTTCATTCATCCTAATGCATGCATAGTAATTTTTAATATTCTTGATCATCTTATTCATAAGCAACACACGTAAAAAATTACGAAAGCAGCTGTCGAAATTTTTCTGACAGCCATCAGTGCAACCGCAATGCGCAAAATCAGCCGTCAAAACTGCTGTGTTAGGTGTACTATGTATGCCTTCGCCTAAGAAGTGTCAATACAAAATTGTAAAAATTCGTTTTCAATACGTATATAAGTTCATATTTTGTAGACATTAAAAGTCGGTGAATACAAGCGCTGCATATTTGATGTGGAGTTTGTTAGAAGTTGGAAGTGTTGAATGATAACAAAACTAGAAAACGATGCATGGAAAGAAGCCATTTCCAAAATATTATATATACTCTTATATTTACAACTACAGACATATAGCAACATGCACAAGTACATATGTAAATAATTAAGATTTCGCTTCGCATTATTCATTGGTTAGAATAAGAGTGTCATGAAGGCTGAAAAGAAAACATATTGTCATTGCTAATAAAATTCTAATGACAATAGTAAACCGAAAAAAAAATAACAACAAGAAGCAGCAACAACTACATGTCGATTGTAGAACCCATCTTGCTTATCTCAGATAAAAATATACCGGTACAGAGAAACTGCAACGTATATATGTATAAATAAATGTATACACATGTATGTATCATATGTAAGAGTCTTTCTACCACAACCACCCCAGTAATGCTGTAAAAACTAAGATACATAGAAACAACCACCATTTCAATCGAGATCCACAATTGGTAAAATCAAGTAGCTAAGACAGTAAATCCTGTTTTGCAGGTACTTTCGGAAAAAAAATAAAAAAGAACAAATTCAGGAAATACAATTATACATACATCGTTAAAAAATAACAAAACTTGCTTTTGGTAACAAAAAGTCTCAGCGCTGTCGACTTGTAAGTATCGAAAGATAACAAATCTTATAACAAATAAATAAAAAATGTTAACTTCGATTGCAGCGAAGCTACCCTACAAGAACAGTGACAGTCATCTGACTGGTCATATGACAGTCACAGCTGAAAAAATTTTGTCAGCGCGCAGAACATAAGAGCCTTGTGCAAAAGCTGATGTTAACAAACGTATGTGTGTGAGTTTGCATCTCTCTTTAACACATGAGTATTCGGAATTGATTCACTATATATCTATACTGCTCACTCTCATGTGTTAATACTAATTTATTTATATTCTTTAACAAAACAAATAAAGTTATTGCACAGGAGCACGCAAAACTTTTGATTTATCGCACGGCATAACAGCTACATAGGATTCCACAACTTCTTGAAATTTCTTTGGAAATGTATGCTGTCTCTTTTCGACGCATACAGAATTTGCTTTTGGAAAAATCGTAAACATTGTCAGTTATTTTACTGTTCATTTGACTATCAGTACTGACATAATAAATGTGAGTGTATTTTTGAACCCATCAGCAGTTTCTTGTAGGGTATAATACGCTCCACACATACAAAAGATTAATTACAAAAACTTCGATCGGTCGGTTTGTATGGTAGCTATATGCCTTAATGATCCGATCTAAATAAATTCTTCGAATATTGCATTATTGCCTTAGGCAATACCCCATGCCGAATTTCCTGAAGATATTTCGTCAAATGAGAAAGTTTTCCATACGAGCACTTTACTCTCATTATTCAGTTCATATGGCAGCTATATGCTGTTGTGGTCCGATATCGACCGTTCCGACTTTGGTTGTTCAATATTCTGATACTTTGATTTTTGCAATTTTAGAAATACAACTCTGCTTTTTTAATACTCACGATTTTTCTGTGAATGTATATTGATTATGACTGCTAAGCCTTGGAACTGATGCAATTTTTTAATCATTCCCTTGCCATGTATCTCATCTAACTTGACCCTTTTACCGACAAGTAGTCTGGCACAACAGTTCAAAATTTGGACTCAATTCTCCAGAAATCAACAAAGATTTATATTTATAATACAAGTTCAACGAAATCGGATGTGACAAGAACTTTTCTATCGAATCTTTTGAAAGAGATACTCTGCAGTAACATACAGCTGGCATCCTACATACTAGAACAGAATTTTTGTTCCACTGAAAATCCAATTATCTGATAAACATTTTCATTTCGCCCGATTTCCTAAAAAGCGCTCGCTTTCTGGAACTACCGTTAAGCATAATGGATTACACCTGCCACTACTGCGCTAAAAGCATAAGATATTTTTATCATGAAGAGCACATCCCTTTGAACGTTTTATCCTTGAAAATTACTTAGAGTTCACTAGAACTTAAAATCTGATTAATACGCCCGATTGTATGCTACAGAATATGGCTACTAAATGATTACAAGTACTTGTAATAAACAAGTATTCATTACCAAGAAATCTGCATTAATGGGAACGAACGAAACAGCTTCAAAAGGGAGCATGTTTACTCAACTGTAAAAAGAAATTATTAGCAGGAAATTTCAGCAATTGCGTTTAATTACCAGAAATTTACACCTTTGACGTTGGTTGTGTGAATACCCACACATACATAGGTATGTAAGAAATTTTATATATATAGATACTTTTAGACTGTGTGTGAGTTGCCAGCCAGCCAGCAGTATAGGGTACGTGTAATTTTATGCTGAGAAATGGCAACTGAAGTCAAGGATATGCGGTGGTAGAAAATAAATGTTTAAGTGTAAGCAGCGAACCGAATTACACAGCAACAACTGCAGTACAGAGCAGGTGGGCGGCAAACAGAAGAGGCAGAGAGGATAGCAGCTAACAGCAACTACTACATGTTGGCCCTGAAAGTATGACGGCATATGTGTTTTTCAAAAATAAAACAAAAATAGTCGAGGAGCCTGACGCTGGCAACTAGTCGAGTATGTATGAGTATTTAACACAGCAACCAACCGCCACATGGCTAAAACTCACATTAGCCGCCATGTAATTAAGGGATTTTAACATTGAGTTTCAGTTCTTTCGAGTGGCATTTGCAGGACGTTAACGACACACAAATTCTA